CTGCATCTCTTACCATTACACATCCCTTTTATTCAGAAACTGGTAGCTGAAAGCCCACAACACGGTCACCCCTCAGGGCCCTCATTTCTCCCGGGTTTGCTGCCCTGGAAGAGGACGTGTCTTACTCACTGAAGAATGGGGTTGATTGAAGAATAGGGTTGTAAACAAAGAACCTCGAGGATGTTAGGCTTTGTTAGCAACTATAGAGAAAAGGAAATTACTAAGATAAGCTTTGCCAGAACCGCCTGGTGGTTACTGATACGACTGATATGACAAGGATCCTAAAACAAAGTGATGAAGAAATAACCACCAGGGGTCCAAAAGCCCACTACAACATTTTTGTAGGCATACAGGAGGCATTCTCTAAAAGTATGATGTAATGCATGTAATCTAAGGAATATGTATGTTTAAGGAAAATATAATCACAGCCTGGTTGATGCCTGGGAGAGACACACTTGGAGGAGCTATCTCCCATGTCTCCCGGTACCGCAATAAAGAATACCTGCTTGTCAACTTAAAACTTTGTTGGCGAGTTCCTGGAGTTTTCTCTGAAACAATCTGGCACCCCAGATGGGATCCTCTCTGCTCGGCTGCAGGACCCAATGAGGACAGGTCTCCCTAGGGCCCTCAGGAGTTTTACCTGGAGGGACCCCTTGACTCATTCGGATCACTGTGGGAGCAAACAAGAACCATCCTCATAAAAAGTATTCTTTTCTTTTGTATAGTCTGTAAGGTGCAGGGGGCATCTTGCATAAAGACTAAAATGGTGATTGGGTTGGATGATTTTGGTCTTGTGATTTTGGTGTTGGTGACAGACCGTTATAACTGTTAATGGTTGCTGTTCGACAGAATTTTAGTCTCTGTCTCAAGTGTTGTAACTGTGTGGAGTGTGCCTGTGGGATCCCGTGTGTGTGTGGGAATGCAAGACTGACAATGGGAAATTGGCAGAGTGAAGACATCTTGAAAAGGAGTCCTTTAGGGTGCATTTTGGCACATTGGAAAGAACTGGGAGGGTTTCCTGGGGGCTCAGTAAATAAGAAAAACGTTGGTGAAATATTGTAACCAATGGTGGCCATTGTATACTCTGGAGGATCAGGAGAAATGGCCTAAAACTGGAACTCGGAATTATAATACATTCTTGCAATTAATGTTACTTTTAAGGCAACAAGGAAAATGGGATGCAGTGATGCATGCAGATATGTTTTTCACTTTAAGAAACCACCCAGAGTGGTAGACGGAATGTGAAATTAATATAGCTCTGCCAGATCCCTAATTTTGGCTTTAGGAAAGGACAGGGAAAAACAGAAAGCTAAGCTGGAGAGATGTTGTTCAGCCTGTGATATTGGGGAAATTATGTTTAAAGTTAAAAAAAAAAACAAAAAACAAACACCTAGACAGAGTAATCGGGAAGATAGGTTGGGGGATTATGTATCACAGGTACCTCCGAGAGGAGCACTCTCGGCAACTGCTCCATCTGTTACTGATAAGGAGGAAGAGGTTGCTGTCACTGGCAACAGAGCAGAAGGACTTGAGAATGTTAAAGAAGCGTGGAGAGCGTACAGGAATCGGGAACAGATAGAGAAGAGCGAGCTGAGTTGTGCTATGGGCACGCCTACAGTGACTGCTTTGGGACAAGTAGAAATTGGTGGAGGAACTAATGCGAGAGGACGAGGCAGAGGTAGAGGAGGAATGTCAGGCAGAGGTGAGAGATTGAATTTTCCTGTGGGATGGAATCAGTGTGCATGCTGTAAGGAGTTTGGACATTGGAAGTGAGACTGCCCTGGGGGAAGCTCCATGGTGTGGCTCCGGTGACTGAATTGGAACTAGACTGACAAGGACCTGGGGAATCTACCCTAGCAGATCCACTCATTAAATTAAAACTAGGCACTAGAGGAAATAAAGTGGAATTTCTAAGTGGTTACAGGAGCAACTTATTCAACGTTAAATCAGAGGAAAAGAATTTGTTACAGATGTGGTAGCTACTAGTCACCAAAAAAACAAAACAACAAAAAAACAATGAAAAAACAACAACAAAAAAAAAACAACAAAAAACCCCAAACCCACATTCTTTCTGAAACCTGTAGAGTATAAACTGGGAAAACAAATCGGAATGCATAATTTTTTATGCATGCCAAATTCTCAAAAAATCTTTTATTAGGGCAAGAAGCAACATTTAAAGAAGGCAAAATGGAATTAAGAGTCCAAACCGATCAATTAATTGAAGTTTTGAGTTTATCTTTAATTCAGCAGAAAAGCAAACAGGAGGACCTCCCTGAAATAGAAGAAATCCTTAAACAGGTGTATCTGGGAGTATGGGCATCTGAAGTTCCAGGTAAGGTGAAAAATGCTTTGCCTGTTGAAGTGGAAATAAAAGGGGGGCTGCCCAATTAGAATAAAACAATATCGCTTAAAATTGGAGGATCGAAAGGGAATCAAAGAAATAATAAAAAAAAAATATGGATTATTAATTGAATGTGAATTAGAATATAATACTCCTATCTTGCCAGTAAAGAAATCCGATGGGAAAAGTTAGAGATTAGTTCAAGATCTCAGAGCAATCAACAAAATTGTGGAGGATATTCATCCAGTAGTAGCTAATCTATATACCTTATTGACTAAACTAATACTAATCAGGAGTGGTTTACCGTTCTGGACTTAAAGGATGCATTTTCCTGTCTGCCCCTGGCCAAAGAAAGTCAGAATTTATTTGCTTTTGAATGGGAAAACCCTGAAAAAGGAAGAAGGACACAGCTCACTTGGACGGCGTTACCTCAGGGATTTAAAAACAGTCCAACCATTTTCAGAAATCAATTGGCACGAGAATTAGAATCCTGGGAAGCATCCACTCAGACAGGAACTTTACTACAGTATGTGGACGACCTGTTAATTGCTACCAAAACTGAGAGAAAATGTGTTCAATGGACTGTAGAACTGTTAAACTTTCTGGGGCTAAATGGATACCGGGTATCTAAATGGAAGGCTCAACTAATTCAAACTCGAGTATCTTATTTAGGATGCAAAGTAACAGGAGGACAACCAGAACTTGGAGCAGCTCGGAAGGAAGCAATCTCTCAAACACCGTGACCGTCCACAGTTAAAGATATCCGGACATTTCTGAGAATGCCGGGATGGTGCCAACCCTGGATCCATGATTATGGTGTTCTGGTAAGACCCTTATACGAGCTGCTAAAAGAAAATCCAACCTTTCTAAAATGGACAGATCAAGCTGAAGAAACATTTAAAAGTTTAAAGACAGAGCTCATGAGAGCTCCAGCTCTGGGGGTCCCGCACATAACTAAACACTTTTGGCAATATTCCTATGAGAAATAGGGTGGGGTTTCTCAGCCTTGGGGGTTTTGCAGGTATGCAGATATGACTGATAAGACAACGATCCTAAAACAATGTGATGAAGAAATAACCACCAGGGGTCCGAAGCCCCACTACCACATTTTTGTAGGCACACAGGAGGCATTCTCTAAAAGTATGATGTAATGTATGTAATCTAAGGAACATGTATGTTTAAGGACAATATAATCACAGCCTGGTTGATGCTCAGCAGAGAGATGCTTGGAGGAGCTATCCCCCGTGTCTCCCGGCGCCGCAATAAAGAATACCTGCTTGTCAGCTTGAAAACTGTGTTGGCGAGTTTCTGGAGTTTTCATCATCAACAAGCAGGCGGCTCGAGCAGCTGCCCTCTTCCACTGCAGAGGCTGGAATGTCATTTCTTTTGCTTCATGAGCTTTGCTCATCAAGACCTGGCTGAATGTTCAGGGTAAACAGATACCTTGCCAGTGCCCTACCAGAAGCCTCCTGGGAGGAATCCAACAACTACAAGAGGCAGGATAGTGGGGCTACAAATTGGAGACAAGGCTTAATACAAAACACCTCAGCACTCCAAACATTTCTTTCCCAATAACAGTGTTCAAACCCTCAGAGAAAACATCCCTGTTTCATCTAGCCAGCAGTTAGTTTGCCCCAGACACATTTCCACAGCAAGTTTCACGCTCAAGATGCACAGCCATTCTTCTCAGGGTAGGAAGACACTTAATCCCAACAATCCAGTGCCTTTTGAACGAAGTAGACACTGCTGTGGCAGGGAAGCAGGACTGAAGCCCTGGCTTTGCTTTTGACACTCTTCGGAGAAGCTCAGTAATTTGCAAACATCCAGGTGGTACAGAGTTCAAGTTTGCTGTTCAACCAGTTTACAACTTCAGGCTATTTCCCCACATGCAGACCTTGCATCCTTGCTTTAACGAGCAGCAGCAGAACATGGTTGCACCCACCCAAGCATCACTGCAGTGGAGACAAACCCCAGAACCCCAGGCCTAGCAGCTTGAAGAGCCTTCACAAAGGTAACCTGGCACTCACCTCAGAAGAGCTGCACACCTTCTCCTCCTCCCACGGGGAGGTTTTGGGGGCTGGAAACGGGGCCTCACAAAGTAATTTTTACACGGCATGAGCCCCCGCGCAGGCGCAGTCCATGGAAGGCAACGCGGCAGTGTTCAACGGACGTTTATTGTGTGGGGTCATTGTGAGCGGCACCAGCCATGGGAGCTGACCCTGAGGTCACCCGGTCCCAGCCCTGCCAGGGCAGGGGCACCTGAACGTGTCCAGGCAGGGCTTGGATGTGCCCAGAGAGGGAGCCTCCACATCCCCCTACGCAGCCTCTTCAGTGCTCTGACACTGCAACAGAACAAGTTCTTTCTCATGTCCAGGTGAAACTTCTTCTGTTTCAGTTCATGGCCACTGCTCCTCATCCTGGGGCTGCCCACCACTGAAAAGAGTCACGCACTTTCCTTCCGGCACCTGCCCCAAACCTCCAATCAGCTCCCTCCACCACCTCTCCTCTTCTTCACCTCTGAGGGCTCATTCTCCTAGGAAGAAACTGCTTTCACCCTCCACAAGCACAGTGGTCAATGGGAGTGGGAGACACCGGGCTTTGTTCCCAGGGTATCAGACCTCACTGCTCCCCAAACTCCCCCCACCTAGGGCTCCCCAACCCTGTGGGTCTGCTGGTGCCGGAAGAGCGACGAGCTCGCTCTGAAGCCCTTCCCACACTCAGCACAGACGTAGGGACGCTCCCCGGTGTGGATGCGCTGGTGGTCAATGAGGTGGCCACTCTGGCGAAAGCTGTCCCCACAGTAGGTGCAGACATAGGGCCTCTCACCAGTGTGGACACGTTGGTGTTTCATGAGCGTGGAGCTGCGGCTGAAGCTCTTCCCACAATCCGTACACTTGTAGGGTTTCTCCCCGGTGTGAACGCGCTGGTGCCAGGTAAGCTGTGAGTTCTCAGAGAAGCTCTTCCCACACTCAGCACACTTGTAGGCCTTCTCCCTGGAGTGGACCCACTGGTGTTGTGTCAGGGCTGACCTCACGCGGAACCTCTTTCCACAGGTTCTGCACTCGTAGGGTTTCTCCCCAGTGTGCACACGCTGGTGCAGGACGAGCTGAGAGTTCCCAGAGAAGCTCTTCCCGCACTCAGCACACTTGTAAGGCTTCTCCCCAGTGTGAATTACCTGATGCTGGATCAGCTTAGAGCTCTCTCTGAAGCTCTTCCCGCAGGTGCTGCACTCGTAGGGTTTCTCCCCCGTGTGCACCCGCTGGTGCTGGAGGAGCTGCGAGTTGTCAGAGAAGCTCTTCCCACACTCGGCACACTTGTAGGGCTTCTCCCCAGTGTGCACCCGCTGGTGTCGTGTCAGCGCTGCACTCACACTGAAGGTCTTCCCGCAGGTCCTGCACTCGTAGGGTTTTTCCCTGGTGTGGACCCGCTGGTGTCGTGTCAGGGCTGAGCTCAGGCTGAAGGTCATCCCGCAATCGGCACACTTGTAAGGCTTCTCCCCAGTGTGCACCCGCTGGTGTCGTGTCAGGGCTTCACTCACGCTGAAGCTCTTCCCGCAGGTCCTGCACTCGTAGGGTTTCTCCCCAGTGTGCACCCGCTGGTGTCGTATAAGGCCTGCTTTCATGCTGAAGCTCTTCCCGCAGGTCCTGCACTCGTAGGGTTTCTCCCCAGTGTGCACCCACTGGTGCTGGACGAGCTGAGAGTTCCTGAAGAAGCTCTTCCCACACTTGCCACACTTGTAAGGCTTCTCCCCAGTGTGGGTTACCTGGTGCCGGATCAGCTTCGAGCTTTCTCTGAACCTCTTCCCGCAATCGGAGCACTCGAAAGGCCGCTCCCCTGTGTGGATCCTCTGGTGCTGGATGAGATATGACCGGTGCTGGAAACTCTTTCCACACACAGCGCAGGTGAAGGGTTTTTCTCCAGTGTGGATTCTCTGATGCTGGATGAGGTTTGAGCTCACCTGGAAGCTCTTGGATCTCTGAATCCTTTCTGACCTGTGTGGGAGAACAGGGTCCTGTGCAGGACCCTGGGAACTGTTCTCCTCGGAGAGTCCTGAGCAGAAACCCTTGGGCTCCACTGGCCGGGGGATGCCTTGATGGGCATTGTCTTCATTCGTGCTCACAATCCCATCTTCAGCTGCAATAAAATGAGAATCCAGAGAAGTCACAGGCAGGACAGGAAGCTTTGGACAGGGCAAATCGCAAGGGGCCAAATGCTAAAAATTCAGCACGTAGATTGACTTTAAGTATAAAACATTCTGCTATATCCTGTATGCAGGACATGGTATTTCCCTCCAAACTACACAGTGGATTTTTCAGAGTGTTCACAGGAGCAAATGCTGCAAATTGCCATGCATGCTTCACCAGAAGCTGAATCTACTGAAATCACTGGCATATTAGAGGCAAAATTTTACTGCTTGAATTAATGGACAGATGATGAGGACAGGCTGGGGAAGACCTGGCACAGCCTCTGGAAAGAGATGTCTCACTTCACAAATCACTCAGAGTTCTTCAGAGATGTCCCCAGTTTTATCAAAAGGGACATCTGGAGTCCGGAGGCATTCCCGAAAGACATTCATCCTTCACCTAAACAGGTAAAGAGGAAGACAAAGGCATGACAGGAACCATCAGAGGCACAGAACAGCTTCTGTACAGGAGATGAGTCAACTGCCCATTCTGCTGGGAAAAGGTACAGCTGACGGGGTATCACAGAGGACTATAAAAACACAAGTGGCCTGTGGGGTGCTTTGGCATCTATCCTGCAGCATCTGGTCTACTAGGAAGAAAAGAGCAGAAACAAATTAACTTTAAGCTTTCACTGGTGCAGAACAAATCCGTTGTGCATGCAAGGTGGCAGGTGAACCGAAGATCCCCCATGGCTGGTTCCAGATCATGCAATGAAGAAATAAAATATATGTAGTAGATGAAAGTAGGTGCAAGTTGAATTAATGGTAGCTGAACAGTTACGAATGGCTCCTGGGACAGAGGCAATGAACAGATCCCTGCCCTCTTATGTACATAAAGTCTTGCGTTACTGCTATGAATGTTCACTGCGCAGACCCGAGGTCACCTAAAAGCCTGTTCAAGACAAAGGGCTTGTGCTGAGTCCTTGTGCTGATAGACGTTGGAAAAGCCTTCAGAAGCACATGACAATTAAGTTTTCTATGCTGTTCTATACTTTTTTTGGAAGATCAGGAGTGTCAACCTTCTTTTTACAATTATTGTAACAGCTCTAGCACGTCTACAATCATTACTGTTACTTCTGAGCTCCTAGGTACCTTCACTGGCATCTAGGACACGTTGTCTCTAAAGGCTTTGATCAAAACCAAGACAGGAACTCACTGGAAGTATTTCAAGTGGAAGGAGAGCAAGGTCACAATGATGAGGATTTAACACTAGAAACATAAGGCTGAACTGGAAAAAATGCATAAGCAAGAGAGACATGAAGAATGTGGTTCATCCTCAGCCCATGCCAATTTGGGTTCATGGCAAGACCTCTAAAATGCCAAAGAGTGCCAGTCCTATAGCTACAAGGCAAGCTCCAGGTAAGCAGAGTAAGCTGCTGGACTTCTGACTGTGGTACCTCACTGCTGGGACTGGAAGTGGCTGATGTGATGCCACAGAAAGAGCTGGAGGGGAGATCTGGGGCCCAACATTCCAAACAAACAGAAATCTGAGTATAAGAATTAATGGACACTTGGCAAGAGGACAGACTGGGGAAGACCTGGCACGGCCTTTGGAATGAGACATCTCACTTCACAAACCACTCGGAGTTCTTCAGAGATGTCCCCAGCTTTATCAAAAGGGACATGTGGGGTCCAGAGGCATTCCCAAAAGACATTCATCCTTCGCTAAAACTGGTAAAGAAGCTAAGCTACTCTGGCATGAACGAACCTCACAGGGCAGTAAAAAAGGGAAAAGGAGGTGGAAACATTTGCTTATGTTTTTGTGTTCCTCAGGGTTAAAGACAAAAAACCTGACTACATACTATGGCACAGCCTTGAAATACTGACCAACCAGGTGACAGGGGACATTCACTGCAAGTAAACAAAGACCCGGAGAGGAGAAGAGCCTCTACAGCTTGCACTTACACCAAGCTGGGATTAGGATGTTCTAGATATCGTTCCAGAATAGCACCTTGGAGTCTGAGCAGCTGGATGAAAACTGCAGCTCCTAGGCACACAATACAGCCAGTCAAGCATCAATAAGTGCTGGGGGGAAAACAACAGAGAGGAAAAGAGAATGTAATTCTGCCTTGCTTCTCAAACCCCGCATTCTGACTGCGTGCAAGGGGGAGGACAGATCCCCCATGTCAGAGACACTCTGGCAGAGCTGAGGAAGACAGAGGCATGACAGGAACCATCAGAGGCACAGAGCAGCTTCTGTATAGGAGATGAGTCAACTGCCCATTCTGCTGGGAAAAGGTACAGCTGATAGTGGGTATCACAGAGGACTATAAAAACACAAGTGGCCTGTGGGGTGGTTTGGCATCTATCCTGCACCATCTAGTCTGAATTAAGAACTCGTGCCAGCAGGAAAAGGCACTTTCAAAACAAACTAAAGGAGGCTGCAACTCATAAATCACCTAAATAAGCTGGGGAACTCCTTGCTTGCTGCAAGCTGCCACGGCTGCTACAATGTGCGCAGCTTGAGAAGGCAAGAAGATAGATCTTGAGACATTATGGGCCTAGTTCAGGAGCTTCTGAAGCCACAGACGGCTCAGGCCTGTGAAAGGATACAGGGACACATCACTGTTTGTCTGCCCTTCTCTGGATCTTGATCAAAGGCTGGGCCTGCTGCCTGCTGTATGAGGAAAGGCTGAGAGCTGGGCTTGCTCTGCCTAGAGAACAGAAGGCTCGGGGGAGACATGATCACCACAGTCCAGTATTTAAGGGTGCCTACGAAGAAGACGGGGGCTCCCTTTTCACAAGGAGTCACATGGAAAAGACGAGGGGTACAAGTTACTCCTGGGCAGATTCTGGTTGGACACAAGAGGAAAAGTTTTCCCAGTGAGAACAACCAGCCATTGCAATAATCTCCCCAGGGAAGTGGTGCACTCCCCAGTGTTGGACGCTTTAAAGACTCAGCTGGACAGGGCACTGGGACATCCAGTCCAGGTCATGCTTTGCCTGGAAAAGTTGTACTGGATGATCCTTGAGATCCCTCCCAGCCTGGTGCCCTGTGGCGCTATGAATATCGTCGCCACAGGCAGCAGGTGAAGCTGGACGGGCCCTGCTCCAACCCAGCACCTCCGCCCTTGTACATTCTGGGGGCGCTGGTGCTCCCGGAGCACTCTTTCTCATGACGGGTTCACACTGACGGCCCTTACCTGAGGTGCCGCTCAGAGCACTCTTCCCTTCGCAGGAGCGGGACAACCGCAGTTCCTCCTTCTGATCCATGTGGATGAGCATCTCCGGCGCCGCTCCGGGGAAAGAAACGAAGAGGGTCAGGCCAGCTGGGCTTTCACCGACCGCTACCAGCGGCGCGGCTCGGGAGCTAGCGGCTCCGCGACGAGCAGGGACCCCGGCTCCAAGGGGCGTGCAGCGGAAAGCACCGGGCCCCGCAGCACGCCCCTGCCAGGGAGGCTCACGCGGCCGCGGGGGGCGGGCTTCCGGGCCAAGCCCTACCGGGTCAGGCCCCGCTCCCTGCGGCCCGGCCAGGCCCGCCCTCAACGCCTGGGCCGGCGCACCAGGGGGGTGCTGCCCCGTGACGGCAGCGACCAGCGACGGGCGGTGCTTTCGCCTCCACGGCCGGAGGGAGATGGCGGCGCTGGGCTTCCGGTGGCGATGGTGCCGTCCTACGGTGGGGCTCCCCCCGCGGGCCTGCCGGTACCGAGTGATATAAGGAAAGCAACTGCCTGGAAAACATAGGGTTAAAATACTTTTAACTTCACTTAGGTCTGAGATAAAGAACAATGTTTGAGTTGTATGTCTGTGGTGTCATAACAGAATTTAGTAGTCTTACTAACAAGAGTGAACTATTTCTTACCATCCTTCTAATTATCAGTTAGTTTGGGGACAGGGACTCCCGAACATCTGCTAGCTTAGGATACTCCTTGTCTGCCCATCCTGTTCTGCTTGAGGTATTTCCTGCCCTTGCCTTCCTGTGGTATGAGAGGATACTGGACTGCCTGGAGGGGTGTCTGATTCGGAATCCCCACTTTCCTCTTGTGGTGGTTCCTGTCTCACAGGTGGTTTATAATATTCTGGTAAATCCCCACCTCCAGAGTGCCCTGCCTTTCCCAGTCTGGTACATCTCTGCTCTATACTATGTACCGAACAATATCTCTTTAACTTCCCTTTTCCTTCCTTCCTATTACCCTTCTCCAGAGCCAACACCATCGGGTCTTGTGGAGCCCCCAGCCCACATTCTGTCTGCCATTCAGGATGATCCCGAAGGGTAAAGAACATATCAGCATATGAAACTTCATCCCATTTTCCTTCTCGTCTCAAAAATAACATTAATTGTAATAAAGCATTATAATTCCAAGTGCCATTGAAGGGCCACTTTTCCCCATCTTCCAATTCATATGAAAGCCATCACTGATTACAATATTTGGTCAAGGTTTTCTTATTCACACTTCCTCCCAGTGGCCCCCCTGTATCTTTCCAATGAGCTAAAATGCAACCTGAAGGGCTCTTTTTGAGAATTCCCCCACTCTGCTGTCCTCCCATTGTAAGCCTTTAAAGATGTAAGACACCGTTAACCCTACAACAATAATATCTTACCCAGAGTAAAAGGTATAAGGAAGTGCTGCACCCACAACAGATACACCCAAATTCCAAACACTTCTGTAAATAAACGGCTTGTCTCTCACCAAAAGAGATAATATATTTTGAACAAGCAGGACACTTAGCTCGGATATACAAACAACAGCGATGACAGATTGTGCAAGGGCTAGTTGGAGCCCTGCACCAGGGAGCTTGATCACTACTCTGACAGTTAATCCCTATATTGCTCTACTTGCTATGCCACGTCTCACTCACACAAAACACTCATTCACACAAGGGCCGGTCTCTCAATCACCCACTTCATACAGAATGTCCTCTAAGCCAGGAATTGGTAACACATAAATCTTAAGCCACTGTTTACCCACCAGAGGTTCCTGAAACTGTTAGTACAGTGACCCTTGTGTACCCTACCAACCCAACCCAACCCAACCCAACCCTTGGGGCGAGCACCTGCGCTCTCCACCTTGTGTAGGACACCTTCTCACGACCCACAGGTATCCCCTTTACCTGGTTCAAACATACCTGATGATTCACTAGTGATGGCCCTTGTCTGCTCCTGCGGTGATCTGAGTGAGTGGGGGAGTCCTCCCAAGAAATCTCGGGGGCGCCCAGAGGAGTCCCGTACTCAGGAGGTCCTGCAGCCGGACAGAAGTTGTCCCATCTGGGGTGCAAACTAAAGGACAGAATCAGACTCTAAAACTCAAAGAGAGTTATAAAGCAGGTATGTTTATTACGGCGCCGGGTGAAAGGGGGACCGCTCCTCCTAACTTGCACACCGAGGGGTTAAGTAGGCAGATATGTATGACGTACAAACATGCATGTTCATTAGGTTCCCGAGAGTTCGGTGGGGATATTATTTTAGGAACTCATTATGATAAGTCTCTTCCCTTTTGGCGCCTGTGTGCTGCCCTCCAATAGTGGTGGGCAAGGGTCTTCAAGATGCAGTAAGCAGTCTTCCTCAGGGTGCACTTTTCACCTTTGGCGCAGTGGGATGCCCCAGTGAGCACAAAATTAGCTGAAACCAGCCGTATCTGTAAGTTTCTGATTGCTGGCAATGATTTAGACCAGTGTGACCTTCGTACAAAATTTATGGCAAGCAGAATTGGATGGGCAGACAAGGAATATCCTAAGCTAGCAGATGTTCAGGAGTGACTGTCTCCAATCTAAATGATAATTAGAAGGATGGTAAGAAATAATTCACTCCTTAGAAGGATAGAAAGAAGTACTTCACTCTTGTTAGCAAGACTACTAAATTCTGACATCGCCAGACCAACAGCAAATGCCCACCTCAGGGGCAATGTACATCCTTCATGGCAGGAGCTTGATGAACAAGACACGGCAGTAAGGAGAAAGCATCCAGAGGACACAAAGCAGAGCTTTGGAGCTTTGTAGGTGGACTACCTACCCTTCCAAGAGATGGGGACCCCGATGGAACACTGCCAGCTTCTGGAGCCTCCCAGGTCCCAAGAGTGGAGGCAGGCTGAGCTTAGGCATGAACTTAACCCCTCAGCAGGAATGGTAGTGAAAACCATACAGGCACATTTGAAAGGCACTTCCAGAGCAGCTCCAGTCCCCTTGGAGAAGCACAGGAAGGATTGCGCTTGGATTTACCCCTTTGATACCTAAAAGCTGGCACTCCAAGTGTAATCTGGTAGAAGGGGAAGCCGCAGAAGTCACAACTCTGCTTTACAGCATTCCTGTACGCTGTAGATATACCAACCCCTCCATGGGGCTTGGCCACAGCAGAGACCATGGTGATGGAACACACCCACTCAAGACATGGCATTAAGGCAGGGAATATCTTCTGAAATACCTGTACGCACGGAACTGTGCCTGTGTAAGAAAACAGCTCTCTTTTCAGATGCAAGATGCGAGAAGGTACGTAAACATCTGCAGCACAGCTTTTCAGAATAAACCTACAGAGGCTATGTTTTCAGGCAGCACACAAATCAACGTGGTGGTAGCTGCAAAGGATGACCCACAGTGCCGCTGATCATTTCACTGTCACAGTGAATTTATAAGCAGTGTGTTCCGAAGCTCGCTTAGGGCTCACACCGTGTATATTGGCAAGACAAGCTTTGTACAATGCCAGTAACATACCTGCTCCTTTCTTTAGCCTAAAAAGTAAATCAATACCTTAGTTGAAAAGTTGGGTTTGGTTTGCTTCTTCTGCAGCCTTGGAAGTGTTAAACAGAAGTATCAAAATATTTCTGATAGCTGTTACTACCCACTGGAAATAAAAATGAAAGCAGTGCGTTTTCCAAGACAAATGTGCCTGCATTAGGAAGGCAAGAAAACACATGAATGTATACAAACAGAACTGGCTGGCAACACGTCATCACTGGCACATGGGAACACCGGTGCTAGCTTGGGAAGGCTGCCTTTGCTTACGGACTCATGAAGCAGGGGACTGAATGATTTCTGTCAGGGAATTTGCAGTGCATGTCAGAAACGTCCTTGTTGTCTTGAAGGCCGTAAAAAATTTTTAATCCTTTTCTCATTGTCCGAGGAAAGTTTTAGAATGACAAGAGACATCTCAGTTTGTCAATGGCAGCAACAAGGAAGCACCAAGCCAAGCCCTCACAAAGCAGTTACCTCCAAACCTTGGCAGCACAGATGTGGTATTAAGTCATCTTTCCGCATTAGGCAGAGACTGCCCTGGTGCAAGCTTTAAGAATGACAAAGACAGGAGGATGGAGACACTTTCAGTACCTAAAATTCACAGTTTTTTCATAACATACTAAACAGTTTTTTATGACACAGTGTTGTTTCAATGACTGCAGTTTACATCCACTGAACTGTGACACCGCATTAACTGAAGATTTAATAACTGATCACAAAAGCTTTGATTGTAAATGCAAGTCATACCTAAAAGAGAGTAAAAAAGCTGGGAAGGGATCTTACTTATTTTCCCATATTAAGACGGGTGAGTAGGCGTCCCGGGTTCAGCAGTAGCAGTCATGGTTTTTTTTTTTTGTTTTTTTTTTTTTTTGTTGGTTTTTTTTTTGTTGTTTTTTTTTTTCCTTTGTGCTAGCTGGTGCAGTGCTGTGTTTTGACTTCCAGCCTGAGAACAGTGTTGGTGAAGTCGATGTTTTCAGTTGTTGCTAAGTGATGTTTACCCTGACCAAGGACTTTGTGAGGCTCATGCTCTGCCAGGGAGGAGGGGAAGCCGGGAGGAAGCAGAGATGGGGCGCCTGACTCGGGCTAGCCAGGGAGGTATTGCATACCACAGCACATCATGGCCGGGGTGGGGGGTGACTGGGAGTTACCCGGAAGGACACGGGCTTCCGGGTGGAACTCGTCTTCTTGGCCGGTGGTATCGTATTCTCTTCCCTTGTTATTTTCCCTTATCACTGTTGTAGTTGATAGTAGCGGTGGTGATTTGTGTAAATTGGTTGCTGGACTGTTCTTGTCTCAACCCGTGGGAGTTGCACTCTTTCGATCCTCCTCCCTGTTCCTCCGGGAGTGGGGGAGAACCCCGGTGGGGGGGGGACACGGACCTCGATTGTTGTCAGCTCGGCACCACTCACTGGGAGTGAGTGAACAAGTTACCTGACTGGGTTTAAACCACGACAGTTCTTTTTGGCGCCCAACGTGGGGCACGAGGGGTTGAGATAAGAACAGATCTGACTGGATTGGTAGTCACTCGTCACAATGCTGATTTATTGGCTCTCAAGGTTTTTCCTCTTGATCTCACAGTTTCAGTATATCGTATCTTACGTCCATCCGGTATTTGCTGTATTAATGTTTTTCAAGTGTGGGGCTTGGGCTAAGGTTTTTGTCCCATTGTACTTTATGGTAATGACTTGTAATACAATAGAATCATTGATCATGAAACTGATCTGGCTTATGTTCCCAGTGTGGTCACCACCTTTATACTTTGGGAGGTATATGATGGAGGTACTTACACATCTTTTTTCTCCTTCTCAGG